GTCTGGCTGTCACCGCGCCCCCTTTCAGTTGTCCCCCAGCGTCCGTTCTGCCTCGGGGCGCGGAGTGTGGCCTGTAGCCTCCTCCCGGAAGGAGCAACCGGCTTGCTGCTCTCGGCAAGCAGATGGTGCTCTTGCTCAAATTAGTGCCATCAGCCTCTCCTCCAGGAAGACGCTTCCTGACCAGCAAGGAGGGGGCTGGATCTCCATCCCCAGGCTCTCCCTCTCCCTGGCGGCCCCCCCCCCCGTGCACCTCCCGGCCTGTTCCACCACCCATAACTTACGTGACTGTCCATTTTCTGTGGAAGGCTGCAGAACTCTCCCTGTTCATTATGCTTAAAAAAAAAAAATCAATATTTGCACTTTGATCTCCACTATGGAAGGAAAGAGAAATCCAAGAGCAAAAACCTGTAAAGGCCACATCCAAAGCACCAACACAGGCGATTTCAATCGTTTTTATAAATATTTTACTACGCTCATGGGCTATTAAAATTGAAAGAAAAAAACAACTTAAAAGTCACATCTGCAATGGTATACTTTCAAATCATGAAGGCAACCATGCAAAATTGTGTGCACTGGTAAAAACACACACACACACACACAAGGAAGGGTGTATAAGGCAAGTTGTTAATTTTTATTTCTGGGAGGGGGGGTCTAGAGGGCTTTTTTTCCCCTTTATTTCTTCTGCTTTTCTTTGTGTTCCAAATTTTGTGTAATGAGCCTAAATTGCTTCTTGGTCAGTTTTATTACATTTCTAATGCTGGAAAATATACACAGAGCTTGTAGGAGTATAATAATTAGGACCACGGTCTTTGGGGATACGAGCTTGGGTTGGAGGCCCGGCTCGGCTACGCCCCAGCTGTGACCTTGGCAAGGACGCTCTGAGCCTGTTTCCTCATCTGTGGCACGGAGGTAAGGCACACACCTCAGAGGGTGGCTTCGAGGGAACAGGCCAGGCCTGAACCAGACTCGTTCAGTGGAGTGGCTTAGCTTTATTATCATAGTCACAGTTAATATTTAAATATTAAATGTCAGTAAAAATAGTATTAACGCACGATTGCCGATATTAATACAAACTCATGCTAATATGCACTAATATTAAAGATGTGTTCACATGTGAGATGGAATGGTTTCGTGTTCTGCGGGGCCGCACGGGTCCGCCTGGGGCACACAGCAGGAACGGAGGAGCAGGGGGAGCACGCGGCCCTGCACGCACCCACCCCACTGCTGCAGCCATCCTTCTGTGCTGTCTGCTCGCTTCCCCGCCCCCGCCCTCTGATGGCGAGCGCTCGGAGGTCTCGTTAACCATTCCATCCTCTGCTCACTGCCCTGGGCCAGGCACAGAGCAGGTGTTCAACAGGTGAGTGCTAAGTGAATAATGGGCCCAGCAACCCCGAGATGAGCTACTCTCGTTCTCGCTGATCATTTGAGCAGGATGAATGACGCCTTGTGTAGCTGGACGGTCTCCCTGCGGCTGTGAGCACCTCTCCAGTCTCAGACGCAGGCACCGTAAGAGGCTGGTCCTCCTTCCAGGAGACAGTCCTTGCGCATCTCACCTGTAACCTTATTTGCAGGAGGACCTGACACACAGCCTTGGGCATACGTCAGAGGTCGGTGTCTACCGACTCGGTCGGGGCAGACACGGGCTCACCTGTCGGGGCCGGGCGGGCAGGCTTGCAGGGTGGGTGCAGTCGGCGCTCCGAAGAAGGGAGAGTGGGGAATCCTGATGACTGATTCAGTGTGTTTTAGCGTCTGACCAATGTTTTAAATTACATTTATTTGGCGCAGGTACACATACAGGAGAAATCATCCTCTGACCCCGCCCAGCACAAAGCTGAGGTGAGGTCTATGTGGAGGGAAGGGGCCCCGGCCCCGAGGGAGGGGTTGGGATGGTGCGATCCTGTGTCACAGGCCCCCGTTGGGGGCGGGCGGGACAGACGTGGTGGCAGGCGGTGATCCCTGCTGACAACAGAGTTTACACGGGAGTCGGTATTGCTAACACAGACCAGGGCGGCTGGCCATCCCAGCTTCCTGGGAGAGGCTTCATGGGACATGGGTCTTCCGGTTTATTCTTTTTTAATTAAATTTTTTTAAATTGAAATGTGTTTGACATACAACATTGTGTAAACTTAAGGTGCATAATATGTTAACTTAGAAAATAAAAAAGGGCGTTCCACTCTTAGAACCAGGTCCGTCCCAGGGGCCACGTCCCAGGTCACCCCAGGCTGGACTCCTAGCTCTCCACCAAAAAGGGCAGGTGTTCCTTGAGCCTCCTGCCTGGGAAGGAAGCCTTCCTCTGTCCGCACCGTCTCGGGAACCCAGAGCCGGTGAAGCTCAGGGGACCTGAGTGGACCACGGGACTATCTGCCCAGGGCCGGCGGCTGGCTGGTTGCAGGTGCACACGGGGGACAGGCATAAGCACCCAGCACTGGAGCCAACCACAACCGTCCTTCGCCTTATCTGGAGCCTTCGTCTTTTAAAGAACTGTATGAGCGAGCGAGGCAGCCAGCTGGGTTCGGGAGTGGACACAAAACGTCTTGAAAACCGTGCTGTCTCTCCCACTGCGCCGGCCCGGCTGTGCTGCGGGGACGCAGGGGTCTCCTGGTGCCTTGATCAGGAAAACGCCGGGGCGCAGGAGGCCCACCGGCCCCGACAGGAAGAATAGCTGTCACTTGATGACGTTGTGGGGATGACGATCCCACGTGGGGAGTGGTTAGGAGTCTCCCAGGAGGGTAAGACCCCGCCCGTCTGGGCAAATCCACCGAGATGGGGATGAGACCGGTTGTTGCTGGGAGCTGGGGGTTTCCGAGGACTGGGGAGGGATTCTAATGGGTACAGACTTTCGTCTTGGAACCATGAAAATTTCCTACAACCACACGGTGATGGATGCACAACTCTACGAATAAACTAGAAACGGTTGTACTGTGCCCTTGAAATGGGTGAATGTTACGGCCTGTGAATTGTCTTGAATAAAGCCGTTATTAAAAAAAAATCCCACCAACTTACCTTCTTCCCAAAAATGCTCTACCCCCAGCTAACCAACGGCAACAACAGTCCCACGGAAACCTCAAACAACAAACACAAAGACGGACGAAACAAAAGAAGACTTTTTCCCCGCTTTCCGTCCTCCAGCTCTGGCGGGATCTCAGACCGGCAGCCTCCGTGTCGCTCTGGAGCTTGGCAGGAATGCACATTTTCAGCCCCGTGTCAGCAATCTGTGTTTTATTGGCCCTCCTGGCGGTTCTGGGCACGCGCAGGTTTGGGAGCTGCGGGTGCCCAGGATGGTGGACAAGAAATCCCAGGAATTACTGCGGATCAGTTGCGGAACTGAGAGAAGAGCCCAGCAGACAGGAGGTTTCTTCAGCAGGTTGTACGTTTGGCAGGGAAAGAGGAGATGGGCATCAAGTGAAAAAAGAAACACCCCACGAGATACAGACTTGTCAAGCCATGGAAAGCATTTTAATGACAATTGGCATCACAGGTATAAATAAATATCTCTCCCTTTTCATCTATGATATGTGCTAGAAATATCTTTTTAAAAGGTCCAGCTAAGGTTACGAGGCTTCAAGACCCTTTCTTAGCTACTGATTTTAGTAATTAAAAAAATAAAAACCACGAGCGTCCTGGTATCCGCGAGCGTGGCCGCCCACGGCCCCGGAGCCTGGCAGTCCCCCAGGGGCTGATTCACAACGCCGTGCTCGCCTCTGCCACGTACAGTTGACTTTGGATGAACGCGTTTTGCCATGTGCTGCTACACAATTAGGCTGTTAAAAACCACAGTTGATTGACAATCTAACATAGATTTTAATCTCTTCAGTTCATGCTGGTGTGCTCCGCCCAACAGAGTCAGAGAAACAACCCAAAAACCCTCCAACAGTTTTTATCTTGATTCATTGCTCAGCTGTTAGTAGGTCTCGTGACAGATCTACCGCAGGAGGCTGTGTCGATTATTCCTGGGTACGGCCTCTCCCCCGTGGAGGTGACCGGCCCTCCCCCGACGTGGGGGTGTCCCCGCATCCCCAGCGATGGAGGCGCTGGGTGCTGGGCCGGCTGGGCTCTGGGCGGCCGGCTGCGTCCCCTTGGAACGGCCCCGGGCAGCGTCCCGCCCACTGGTTGTGGCCTCTGGGCTGGCGTGGCCAGTCAAGGCAGCGCCCCCTCCCCGTCTGGTTGTAAGGCCCCAGCAAACATCAAGTCTGGAGGGTTACAGAAAGGCATCAAACTTACTACTTCAAGGATGGATTAACTGACACTGTTGCTAAGAATTCATCTAATGTATAGGAATATAATGTATGTTTAATTTAGGAAAAATATACCATTTGATCCTCGGAAATAAAAATTAAATACAAATCAAGTGGACTTATAGGACACAGAAAGAAAACGTGGGGATGGGGGTGGGGGAGACAATGTGGGAGCACAGAAGATTCTCAAGTAAAGATTGAAAACCCTCAGGTTCACCCCAAGAGGCGCAGGGGCTCTGACCCCCGTCCTCCCTGCGCACCCCCAGGGCTGACAGATCGAGGCCGTCCTCCTGAGGGGACACCGAACCAACCCAGAAACCGTCCCTCAGCGGGGCCTCGCTGTACATTTTGCTCTTTATTAGAAATATAAAGAGATGATCACTTCTGTCTTTTTGTCTTTTTGCATTTTTTAACAAATAATTTTTGGTAGCTTGTCTGCGTTCTATTTTGACTCATAAAATCACCTTCCTAAGGTGGCCTCGTGTGCAGGCCGGCGTCGCCGTCAGCCACCCGCCCAGAGTTTGCTCCGCTTTCGGAACTCTGCCGCCACCAGCTGCTAAAACCCCTCCCGGCAAGACACACACACACAAACACACACACACACACACGCACACACACATGCACGCACACACATGTGCGCGGCCCCTCCGGCTGCAGGACCTCGGTGGTATGCGGCCCCCAGTGTGGCCCCCAGTGCCAGGCACCCCCCAACGCCTGGGCCAGACCCACTCTGGAACCGAGCGTGGCGCCTCGCACCACAGGAGCCTACGCCTGGCCCTTGAATTTCTCCAGGTAGTTTCTGAGCTCCTCGGGGGCGCCCGTGGCCACATCCTGGCACACCCACTTGATGTCCTCGCCGCCGCCCAGGATGGAGTTCACGGTGGGGCAGCCGTCGTCCGGCGGGATGGTGGTGAAGGTGGTGAACTTCACCTTCTTCCTTTTGGAGGTGGGTGAGTGTAGGGGCTCGAGCTTCGGGTCCCTGGCCGGCCTGGCCGCCAAGTCCGGCCGGTGCACCTGGCCTTGCACGTGCTGCCGGGCGCCACCATTGACCAGCAGACGACTGCTCTCCTCGCTGCCGCCCGGCGCGTGGTCCAGGACGGTCGTGTGCTCGCCTTGCGGCGGCGACCCCTCGGCCGCGGGCTCCGGGAGCTCGGCTTCGTTGCCCAGCCACACCCAGTCGTGCGAGTGGGTCACGGAGGCCTGGCCTGCCAGCGACACCTGCTTGTGCCGGTACTTGAGGGCGAAGGTGGCGCAGTTGATGAGGAAGACGAGAATGGCCAAGCAGAAGACGCCCAGCAGGGCGTACATGCCGATCTCCAGGTCGCTCAGGCCGCGGGGCGTCTGCACCAGGTCGCTGGCCCCCAGCCCGCCCCCCGCCCGGGGCAGGTCCACCTGGGCCGGGAAGTTGGTGAAATCCAGGGGGATGTTCTGCAGCTGGCCCTCCCCGGACGGCCTGCCTGCGTCCGGCCGGCTGCTCTTCACCACCCTGTTGTCCAGCAGCGGCCTGGCCGTGGTGCCGCCTCTCCGGAGGGCCCCTTCCTCGAGCTCCACGGAGGAGCCGCCGTGCATGGGCCCCTCGGGCTCCTGGCCCTTCTGCCGGCGGTCGCTGGCGTGGTTCTTGATCTCGCCCTCGTCGCTGTCCCTGCCGCCTCCGCCGCCGGGGCTGGAGTCAGCGTCGTTCTGGCCAAACTTGACCCTGACGCTGCCCACGCCCACGGCCAGGACGCTCTTGCGTTTGGACTTTTGGCAGGCCTCCGCGATGGTCATGTCCACCCGGAGCAGGGGCCCCTGGCCTTCCCCTTCGGCCGTCACCGCCGGCCACCTGGGAGAGCGGGCTTGGGGGATGGACACGACAGCCTCGTCCAGGGAGGTGGCGGTCAGGGTGAAGTCCTTGGTGTCGTAGATGTCCAGTGGCGTTACCGAGCCATCGCTGAGATGGAGCCAAGTGCTGAGCACGGCTTCCTGCAGGGAGAGAGGCCGTTAGGAGGACATAGCGTGTGGGCTCGAGAGGCCTCTCGAGGGAGGAGAAGGGGCCTCTTCTCTTCGGAACCCGCCGCGCAAGGTGACACACGCCCAGGGTCTGGGAGCTGGGACGCCGGCGCCCTCGGTGCCAGGCTAGCCGTGCCTCCTGGGAATCCGCCATGGTCCTCAGTGTCGCCCGCTCACGGACTCACTTGACCCTCACAGCAACCCCCGAGGCAGATGCTGTGACCATTCTGCAGGTGAGGAGACCGGATCGCGGGGAGAAGGGGGACCCCACCCAAGTTCGCCCAGGCAGGTGGCGGGGCTGGGGTTTGAACCCAGCGCTCTGGCCCGAGTCCAGACCACCTTGGCGGCCCTGTCTCCTGGCTGCCGGTGGCCCTGAGGTCACCTCGCGAGCGGGGGCTAAAGGAGACAATTTTGGAGTGTCTGGAATTCTCCCCTGTTGTCTAAGACCAGGATTTAGCGAGGTGTATTAGAGGCCCGTGCCAGACACCGAGGGGCCTTGGAGAGGGCTGCCGGAGCCAGGGAGGGAGAAGGGGCACCTGCGGGTGTTGGTCACGGCGGGCCAGCCGCTCCGTCTGCGCGGGTCTGAGTGTGCTCGCTCTGTGTGTGACGCGCAGTCGGGGAGCTCTGGCAGGGGAGGAGGAAGGTGATGGGAGGCCTGGGGGTGGGGGGCACTGGCCATGTCAGGGGCCCAGGCTGACCTCCGTGGGACAGTCTGCTGGGGGTGATGGGCGAGAAGCAAGGAGCAGAGTGGGGAAGGGAATGGGCAACGTTTGCAAGACCGGGAAGAGCTAATGGAGCCCCAAGGGTCTGTTCAGGATCCAGGGTCTCCTCTGGTCCTGGCTTCTGGGCATGACAACAAAGGGTGGAGAATTCGACCCAAGTTTTGAAATAAATACATGGATCTGCTATTTCTCCTGGTCCATTTTTTAAAAACAGTCCCAGGCCTCCATTTCCCTGACTGAACGTGGGAGTGTGAAGACCTCGACCACAGGGTCTGGGATGGACATCTTTGTGACGTGACTACAGTCTATCCCTCCTTTCTGGCAGGGGCTGGAACACCAGCTTTGGAGAACCCAGTCTTCCCCACTCAGGGTGTGTGCATGCAATGCCGTGGGGCTGGACCGGACCCTCTGGGTCCGGAGCTGGGCCTGTGACTGAGGTCTGGCCCATCGCAACATTCCACCACCCCATCCACAGTGCTTGGCCCGGGAAGGGGCTCAGGATGGAAACCAGCCAACGGGAGAGGATTCCTGGGCTTTGGCTGGAACCACAGAGGAGCCTGCACTCCCTGGAGCTGCTGAGTTGGGCTGCAAGCCTGCAGTGGTAGTGGCCTGCAACTTGGGGTCTGCCGGAACAGAGGGTCAGCAAAGGGGAAGGAAGGGTTAAGAAAAGGAGAGAGAGAGAGGGAGACTGTCTTACGAACATGTTCCAACAACAAAGTAGACTGGCTGAGGATCAACCACTTAAAAACTAGGTAAAAATACACCACAAAAAGGCAATGCAAATTCCTGGGCCTCAGAAACGATGAGGGAACGTGTTACCAGAGGGGTGCCTACAGATAGCTGTTACTGACGGGGCTTGGAGGCAGGTGTTGGAGCTGCTCAGAAGGCTTGCCAGCCAGTGGCGGGGATGCTGACGCACCCAGGGACTGTCAGATGGGGATGCATAAAGCCAGGACTGCCGGGAGGGGGGGATGAGGAAATCCTACCCACTGGGCCAGAAACAGCAACGATGCTCATTTGTGCTCTGAGCACAGCCGGGAAAATGTGTCCCCTGGAAATCCAAACCCCACTGCTTCCCCGCACCTGGGTGTGGGTTCTGCAGTTCTGTGACCTGTGTGGGTGCATGGCCTCCAGCAGAGAGGGGCCCGTGCAAATGCAGGGCTGCAAAGAATCCCTATCAGGAGCAAAATGAAGCAGCTACAGCTCAAGAGGCACTATGATAAAACAATTACACTCCCTGAGAGGGAGGGCTTTACCATGAGAGGAAATCATAAACAATCACGTCGATCAGCAGACCAAGGATTTTGGATAATAGAACTGGAAAAGATGATAAAATAAGATAAACCAGCAGCAACAACAAAATAACCCATGAAATAAAACAGTTCATGGGACATGGACAGAGAGGAGGGCTGAGCAGGAAAAGAACAGGACAGTGTGGAAAGAACCACCTAGGACTTCTAGAAACAAAAAAGTGCTCCAGTGGAAATTAATTACCCAAGGGCTGGCTTGCAAAGCAGAGTAGACACGTCTGGGGAGAGAGTCAGTGTCCGGGCAGACAGAGCCAGGGAACTGACCCAAAACACCATCACAGGATGAAACATACGAACGACAACTTGAAAGAAACAAGAAACAGTATGAGAACGACCAAGAGTTTTCGGTGACAAGCTCCAGAAGGGAGCCAGTGGGGGAAGTCAGTATCCAAAGAAATAGTGGCTGGACATTTTCCAGAATTGAGAACAGTTGTGGATAAGAAACGTGAAGCTCTCTGGGGCCACTGAGCAGCTGGGTCTAGCTTGACCTGGAGGTACCAATCCGGGGCATGAACTGATCAATGCCGACGTCCGCTCCGGCCAGCCTGGGTTGTGTCTCTGTCACTCGTAACTGAGAGCCCAGACCGATGCCGGTGCCGGCGGCCTGAGAGGGGCGAGTGAGACCATGCATGGAATCTGGGAGGGCATGGCGCTCACTGGTGGCACCTGCCCACTCCCCCGTGGCCCCTGCCCGCTCAGCTTTCAAGGGTCAGCTCTGCAAGATGGCTTTGCCCGAGGGCATTCTCTGGCCTCTGGAACCCATGCGGTCATGCCTGTAGCCAGAAGTGCCAAGGAATTGACACCCTGCAAAGGCAGCCCTCAGCCAGCCCCCTTGCCCCTGGTCAACACTGGCTGGCGGTTTCCCCAGCAGACACAGTCTCTGGGAGCCACAGCGGTGGCCGAGCGGGGGACACACTCTACCGACTGTCCTCCATCCCTGGGAGCAGTTCCCGACTCCCCTCTGGGGTCTCCCTCCACCACTCGAATTAAGTATTTGAACTTGCATCCTAGTGCCAGGCTCAGCTTCTGGGGGAATCAAGGTGAGACAGGCAATATGGCTCAGTAATTTTGCTTCCCACCCGTGTCCGCTCTGTCCACGTCCATCGACAAGACCCCCTTCTAATGCCCAGATCGGATACATGAATGCCCGGGGATTCCTCACTTCGTTTCTCTGTCCTGGCTTTCCTGAAACCGATGAGGCACAGGGGAGGTATATGCTACTGCCCTCGTGTTTACGGGTGTAAAAATCTTCCAGCTTTTGTATCTCAGAGTTGAAATACCGAGAACAAGGGGCTAGCTTTGCGCACACCGAGGGCTAGCATGAAAACACGGTTCACACGGTCTGCGAGTTCATCTTGGCTGACTTTCCATCCCGAGTTAATTTTTCTTCACAAACTCTAGACGGAGAAAGAACTTCACATAGAACAAGCCCCCTGAATGGCAGACGATCAAAATTAAGCCCTCTGAACACCGCAGGCTTGCCGAAATCCATCTCCATCAACCCTGCCATGTGACTGAGAGTCGGTCCCTCCATTAGCTCGTTACAGCGAGGCTGGAACACAGGGCTTTCTCGGGAGAAGCCAACGCATTTTCCCAAAGATGAGAAATTCTGAATGACTTAAAATAACACACGCCCAGGAATGATTTAGAGCGCCGTCCTTACAAGAGTCATGTCTGCAAACTGAATGAACTACATCCATAAACCCCCCCGGAGGCCGTGCTGGGACCTTCAATTACCATGAGCCGATGAAGACAGATGGGAGACACTGCCGGGGCATGAAGGGCCCTGCCCCACGCCTGCAAGGCTTCCATGCCAATCATCACCTAATGAATTACCCCTTCTCAGCAAAGAGCTCCCTGCTCCCTGCTTTGTCCCCCCAACTCTTCTCCGCTCCCCTCACTTTGCTCTTTAGGAAGCAGAAAACACCATGCCCCCAGGAGAGATGACAGAAGCCAGCAATGGGGGCCTGACGTGGATGGGAACGTGTTCCAGATCCCTCCTGCTGATGCTCCGGAGCAAAGCCTGCGTGTAGCCACACGATTTCTAGAATGACCCTCATCTTTGGAACCTGGGATATAAGGAGATGCCGCTCCCACGATTATGCTCTGTTACGCGGCACAGCTGACCTGAAGTTAGGGTCATCTGCCTGGATGGCCTGGGTGAGCCAGAGGGGAGGTTAGAGATGTAAAGCATGAAAGGCCTCCATGCACGTTGCTGGTTTTGAACATAATGTGGGTGTGGGAAGTGAGAAGGAACACGGGCGGCCTTAGGGAGCTCAGCGAGGCCCCCGGGGAACCGTCAGCAAAGAAACAGACACCTGTCACGGAACTGCAGAGATGTGGGCGAGCAGGGAGGCCGATTAGTCCCCAGAAGGTTGGCTTTGCTCTCAGGCTGCGGTGCCCTGAGCCTGGAACCCAGCTGAGCCACAGAGCTGAGCTTATAAGTGGGTGTTGTTTAAGCCACTAAGTTTGTCACCCCCCGGTCATCAGAGCCCAGGACTGGGAAGACGCTGTCTTGTGGATTTTCACAGCCCTGGTCACTGTGCTCTGGAACGTGGTTCGGCTTCTCTGACCCATTCCTCCCTCCCCCCACCCCTCTTGCTGAGTCCAGCACAGCGACTGCCCTGCCCCTCTCCACCTCTGGCCTCTAGACCCTTACCTGTTTGGGGGTCCGCAGCAGCTCCTCAGCTGTGGCCACAGCGGTGATGGCCTTGCTGTTCTCCGTGCTGGGGTGGAGGGTGACGGACAGCCCGGCCACGAGCTGGATGGCCAAGTCCGTCACTGATACTTTGTCATCTAACACGGTTACCGTCTTCTCTGCCAGGATGGAGTCAGACAGTGGGGACAACACCTGTGGGGTTGGCAGGACAGAATATTCCCAGGTGTGGCAATCTCCCCCAGCAATACTTCCACCTTGCCCTGGGCCTGCGTCCAGAACACAGGGCGAAGGAGTCACACACCTTCTTCACTATAGATGCACCAGCCCACACGATGCCTCTTTGCAAGAATCAGATAAAGCCATGCTTCCCCAAGACACTTGAGCTCTGTCTGTTGCAAAATTGCAATAAATGTCAAAATCCATTCTATTTTTAGAAGGAAACGCCCCCTCCCATGTTGATGAGGCACTCTTGTACCCTGCACAACCTGATTCACTGCACATGGTCATCCTGACTGGGCTCATGAAAAGTCACACACGCGTTGACTTTGTGCAACCTGAATCACATTCTAAATGAACTTTGGGACTAACTGGTGAGAACTGAATTGTAAATAGTCTACTCCCTCCCCAGACCCCCAGCACAATGTATCCTCTGCTGAAACATGACTTTTGGCTGCCTCTCGTAAAACAAATGTCGCCCTTGAGATCTCCAGGTGAAATGATGGAAACGTCCCCATCATTCCCACATACGGTTGTGGTCTCAGGATCCAGAATGATATCCCCAGAAGGTGCAGTGAGTGGGGCAGAACTTGAGGGGTTTTGGAAAGGGCCCACCACTCGCTCCCTTCTGATCTGAGACCCCACCATACTATGCATTTCCTTGAACAGAAGGGTAATAGGACTTCGAAGAGAGTTTGTTGAATGAATCCACAGCAGGACTAGGTGCTTTAAGGGAAGAAGGGAGGCACCTTCCCCGGGTCCCGGGCAGCGCAGCAAGGAGGGAAGGAGGGGTGGTTTCTGAGATGTGTAGGAGGCGCATGTGCAGGCAGCGGGGCGAAGCGTGGGGAGTCAGAGGCAGGACGGGGAGTGCTGGAACGCGTCGGGAGCGGAGGATGCAGGAGTTGAGAGAGGGGACATGCGGGGTGCCAAGGCCGTGTGGCCACCACCTTCTCAATTCTGTTTGTAAGAAGACTGGGACTCACAGAGCTGGTCCAGGCTCAGCTTCCGGTGTCCCGAGGATGCCACCCGGGGGGCCAGGAATTGGGCACAATGCCCCACCGTTTCTGCGAGCCTCCCCCAGTGCCCGGCATGGTGTCCGGTGCCGAGCATGCAGAAGTCCCGGGCTCTGGCTCCCTACCTGGATGGTGGTCATCCCGACCTCCCGCCCGACCAGGACCCTGCTGTCCTGGAGGGTGGCCACGTGAGGTTCCTCCAGCTTCATGAAGTCTGCAACCAGGTGGGTGATGTCGACCTGCCAGTCAGGACCGAGCAGGTGGCTCAGCTGGCCCCACGGGCCAGCGCCCTCGGCCACGAACTGGGTGAGGACGCGCACGGTGGCGTGCTGGTACTGCAGGGCGCAGCCGCGGCCGCGCCGCTCCTCCTCGTCTTCATCCCCGCTCTCTCGCGTGGGCCTGGGGGGTACAAGAACAAGCTCTCAGGCCCCAGGAGTGGACGCAAAGGTGCACCGGGGTCACAAGCCAGCCGGGTGGGTGCCTGCCTCCACCTCCAAGGGACAGCATCCTGGGCGGGAACCTTGGGACCCCACAGGAGCCCCGGGTTCATCACGGGCAGCACAGAGGGTCGGACATCTCTTTCTTGGAGACATTCGTTGACAAAAGACTTAAGGGCTAACATTGACGAAGTCTACGCTGTCCAATAAATAAGTAGCTAATAGCCACGTGCGCCAATTTACAATTTCATTTAAATGCGTAAGAACTAAATCAATGAAAAGTTTAAACTTCCTAGTCACCCCAGCCATATTCCAAGCACTCCACAACCACACTTGCTAGTGGCTGCCGTAGTGGACAATGTGGTTCTAGAACATTCCACCACTGCGGCAAGGTCTATCGAGCAGAGCTGTACTACGCTCTTGAAATGTGCCCTTCTAGGCTCCACGTGTACGGACTCTTCATCTCATAACACTATGAGGCAAAACTAGCTGTTCTTATGTTCTGGGGTTTGGGGGGTGGAGGTCAGGAACGGTGGGCAAGCTCACAGAGCTAGGCGGTGGCTGCAAGTCTCAGGTCTGCCGTCCCCAGGGACAGAGAGCAGACTGGTTCTCTCGGTCCCTCATGACCACCTCACGGTCTGAAGGATTGCCCGGATTCGTGGCTGCCCCCCGGACCCTGGCAGTCCGGGCAGTTTCTTTCAAGGTCTCCTTGGAGAGAGGGATGCAGCGTCTTCAGGGGCACAAGGGCTTTTCCTGAGTGCACGCTGGCTTGACCCTTAAAATGAAGAGCTCGTGTCTGGGAGACGCCGGCAAACAGCCCCGAGGGTTCAGGACAGAAGATCCCAGGCAGGAGACCAGGAACGTGACAACTCATTTTGCTGACCAGGGGGCCACAGAGCTGAGGAAACAAGACCCCAGCTCCTACATGTGACAATCCAGAGTCACACAGAACAAATTAGAGCCTTGTTTTTTTGTTTAAGAGCAAACAGCAACACCATGGTCCAGTATAAATGCAAATTAATTTTATGCAGTGATTTGAAATGCACAGAGCTGATCAAGCTTACGGATATTCATAAAACACAGAAAAAGAAATCACTGTTTTACTTCGAGAAAAGAACCCCAAACTCAAATTCCCCTGGGGGCTGAGGGGCTAGAAAAATGTTTCACTTCTGTCGCTTCACTCTGGGGCAGCCCTTTCAGGACTGTCTACGGGAAGCCCAAGTGCAGAGCCCACGCGGTCTGGGGTTGATGAGGGTACTGCCGCTGTTTAGCCTCCTGCCTGGCTGGTTATCCTGGGCCTTGGTTAGGCTGGAGAGAATGTAATCCCACGATCGTACCACATCCACCATGTGCCGGGCCCTGTCCCGGCTCCAGCAGTGTGGTCGGTAAACAAAACCATTGTTATGGCTCTGCTGTGTCTTCCCATCCCCAGCTCACCTCTTACTGGCCACGATGGGGACCCTCCAGCCTTTGATCTGGCTCAGCTCTGTGTCAGAGACCTCAATCTGCAGGGGCAGCCGGGGCACCCACACAGTGATGGGCAGGGAGGCACTCAGGTGCTGGTAGGTGAAGTTCACCACCGCATTCACCTTGCCCTTCATCTCTTTGCCATTGACAAAGACATAGTCACAGCGGTCAGACACCTGCAAAGACAGAAAGGGGGATGGAGAGGTCACCAGGCCCTGCAAACCAATCTTCTTCCATTTGTCTTTTTCTCTAGCCAAGCACACATGCTTAATTTTGGGTCCTCCAAATGCAGAGCCTGAGACAAGTATTCTGTGCACCTGGTCTACTTGGGAGATGGCCCCAGGGAGCAGGGGCTGCGGAACAGAGTGAGAGACAGAAAGAGGATAAGTCAATAAAAAGCTACATCTTTACTTTTTTTTTTTTTTTTTTTTGCCGTGGGTCAGCTTCTCTGGAACCTCATGAAAGCCTACAAAATTGTCCCCCTGAAGGATAAGAGACAGGAATATTATCTACCAGCTCCCATCTCTCACCGCCCCAGTGTGTTGACCCCCTGGCACTTCCAGGCTGACACACTAGCCCATGGCATCTGAGAAGACCCTGGGATAGAAAACAGTAGTAGTGGAATGTGGTCCGGTCACAAAGTGAGCTGCAGCCGAGCCTGAACTCTCAGTGGCCACCAGAGGTATCTGCTCCCCAGGCTGATGTCTTCTCACAAAATGAAACACACCCCAAGCAACTTTCCAGGATCTGAAGGGCTTCTGCTACCTTCTTCCTCTGCAGCCTGACTCACTGATCTCTGATCACACACATCCTGACAGTCTGAGACACCCAGGCCTCTGCACATGAGGCTCCCTTTGCCTAAGAACATCCTTTCTTCTGGGGAACCCTCCTACACTGTGGGTGGGAGTGCAAGCTGGGGCAGCCACTCTGGAAAACAGTATGGAGGTTCCTCAAACAGTTGAAAATAGAGCTACCCTATGACCCAGCAATTGCACTACTGGGTATTTACCCCAAAGATACAAATGTAGGGATCCGAGGGGGTATGTGCACCCCAATGTTTATAGCAGCAATGTCCACAATAGCCAAACTGTGGAAAGAGCCAAGATGTCCATCGACAGATGAATGGATAAAGAAGAGGTGGTATATATACACAAGGGAATATTATGCAGCCATCAAAAGGAATGAGATCTTGCCATTTGTAACGACGTGGATGGAACTGGAGGGTGTTATGCTGAGTGAAATAAGTCACTCAGAGAAAGACATGTATCATATGACCTCACTGATATGAGGAATTCTTAATCTCAGGAAACAAACTGAGGGTTGCTGGAGTGGTGGGGGGTGGGAGGGATGGGGTGGCTGGGTGATAGACATTGGGGAGGGTATGTGCTATGGTGAGCGCTGTGAATTGTGCAAGACTCTTGAATCACAGTTCTGTACCTCTGAAACAAATAATGCAATATATGTTAAGAAAAAAAAAAGAAGAAGATAGCAGGAGGGGAAGAATGAAGGGGGAGAAATCGGAGGGGGAGACCAACCATAAGAGACGATGGACTCTGAAAAACAAACTGAGGTTTCTAGAGGGGAGGGGGTGGGGGGATGGGTTAGCCTGGTGATGGGTATTAAAGAGGGCACGTTCTGCGTGGAGCACCGGGTGTTATGCACAAACAATGAATCATGGAACACTACATCAAAAACTAATGATGTAATGTATGGTGATTAACATAACAATAAAAAAGAACATCCCTTCTTCCTTACTGGCCTGGCCAGGCACCTCCCCAACCCCCTGGGATCATTTATACATCTGTATTAGAACTGCTTAGCCTGTGAATAAATGCATCGCATTAGTGACTACCAACTTATATCCCCTCCCCCTGTATTTCTCCCTTTGCTTTTCCCGTTCCTACCACATCATTACCTCAGGAAAAGGCTGAGACAGAGCACAAAGCAAGATAAACACATAGAAAATAAAATAAAAGTCTGCAAGCATTAAGATTTTGTGTTCCAAAGACTAAACCCTTAGGGAGATGAATCTTTACACAATCCCGTGGACATTCTCACGTGGCAAGCAAACAGCAGGAAGATGCCTGTGTCCCCTGGGAGTGGGCTGGAAGGGGCACCACGGACAGCGGTGGGACCATATTCAAGGTAACTCCGACTGGTAACGGATGCCTCTAGGGACTGTAAGCAGAACGTTTGGAGACTGGAAGCCCCCCTCTCCCAAGGCCTTGGCAATAGTTACGTCTTTTGAAAATCAGACTGGGATTATGTTCTGTAGCCTTAATGAAATGAAAATTGAGAATAGAAATCAACTTGTGTTTTCAAGAAATGACATGACTGTGTTGCATATTCAAGTTGGTAAGATGTGATTTATACTGGCCCCGTGTGTCCAGATCAACCATCAAACTATGAAATCCTTGAAGAAAGAAGTACATCTTTTTAAACCTTTGATCTCTTGGTTCCATACAGCAGATGCTCATGAAGCAGGAGCTTAGCTGAGCGGATACTGAATGGACAGAAGAATGAATGTATGTATGCATAGATGGATGGGTGGATGGATGACTGGATGGGTGGGTGGGTGGATGGATGTTTGTGTGTGTGGATGGGTGGCTGGGTGGATAGATGGATGGGTGGATGGTTGGGTGAATGTATGTATGAGTGGATGGGTGGGTTGATGGAGGAGTGGACAGGCGGGTAGATGAATGAAAAGAACCCATTCTTCATGGGGATGCCTGCCTCAGGACAACCAAACAAGGATCTTGGGTGAGGGGAGATGTGGTTAGAAACTGAGATATGATGGAGCCAAGAGCAGTGGAAATGCAAGACATTTACTTGAAAGCTTCCAGAAAGTTCTCAAGCAGTATTTCCTAACTTTTGGGGGCCACTGACTCCTTTGAGAACACACTCCTTTGAGAACACATGTCAAGCTAATTCTTGCTATGGAAATGCATATACATACAGTTTTGCATAACATTTTGGAGTTAATGAAGTCACACGTGGACTCCTCAAATAGCACTTACCATACTAAGCTATAATTGCCAATTTGCTTATCTGTCTCTTGTCAGGACTATGTGCTCTAGAAGGAGCAGTGTCTCCTTCTGGGAGTCTGTGGACCCAGTTAAATCACATTGATGCTGAGCAATGAACTCGTATGATCACCCTCTCCTTCCCCAGTTTCTGGGAACTATGGATGGCTACTCTGGGTCTAATTTTCATCTCCAACTCTTGCTTCTGTTTGGAAGGGCAGCTGGTAAGGGCTGGGCTGAGAGAATTTCCTCCATCTGCTGGGGACAGTGGCAGGAGCAGCTGGGAGGGGAACACATGGATGGATCTTCTCACTCATGGTCAAGAGTGGTTTAAAAATGTTTACCTACTGATTAAGGGTGGAAACCAATTTTAGTCGCTGTCCCAGACTTGCCATTAGCATGTAAACACTGTCCTGAATCTGGGTAGGCATTAGCATAATAGCCGAGCAAGAGTTATATCAGTAATCACTTCTTTAATCAATGTTGTAATTTACAGACCATTGACTTTGCTCATTTATTACCTTCCTGAGCTCTGGTGGGAGGGAACCTGGCTGCTCCAGAATACATAAATAATTAAGAGGAATGCCAAGGGTATGAAGTTGCGGTGCATGATAGAGCCATTGTCACTGCTATTCCTGAAGGTGTCATAAATGTCTGGGGAAGTCTCGGGATGCATTAATCATCTCCTAAGTGGCTAGAAGTGAGAACCACAATATCACAAAATGAGCTGGCTTATCTGCAAAATAGGAACCAAAAACCCCACAGGAATCTGTTTAGTCCCTTGGCTTCGTTTCTGGGACTCTTTTTCATCTTTCATAATGGGTGGGCCACCTGCTGAGAAAGCTGTCTGCTGGCCTCTGCCCACTTGGACATTTAAACTATCCAGTCCAAATGCATGGTGGCCACTGACCCAGCCACTGATGTCTGCTCTTAGGACCTGGAGGGGCCAGGGTGGGTCTGCTTCAGCAACATGTAGTCAGTTGACATCTTCTGTTGTCGTTTGGACCTTGGCAGCTTCTTGATGACATCACTTGCCTCCTTCCCACGGGGAACCGCTTGGGGACCACTTTCGTGGGGGAGGGCAAAGCCACCTGCTGGTCAACCATTGACATCCAATGCGACTTCTGTCTGAAAAAGCAGCCAAGCAGGTTCCAAACTCAACAGAAAATCCCAGAGGGCAGGCAGGTCAATACACAGACCTTTGGACCCACTCCCAGAGTCTCCAACTGAGCAGATCTGGGGGGGACCCCACATCTGCATTTCTAACAAGGTCCCAGGTGATGCTGATGCTCCAGGTCTGGAGAGCACACATGGAGACTCGCTCCTTGAAATAATGCAATCGCCCTTCCTCTGTTTCCATGGAATCTTCTATTTCCTGTCTTCATCCATTTGGGATGCCGTAACGGGATATTGAATATCACAGCCTGGGGGCTTCAAGAACCGACAGTTGTTTCTTACAGCTCCAGAGGCTGCAAGCCCCAGAGGAGGACGCCAGCAGACCCGGTGTGTGCTGAGGAGCCATCCTGTCTCACAGATGCCACCTACTTGCTGCGCCCTCCAGGGGCAGAAGGGGTCAGGGAGCTCTCTGGGGACTCTGCTTTAAGGTCACTAATCCCTTCTATGAGGGCTCCACCCTCATGACCCAGTCACCTCCCCAAAGCCCTGCCCCCTTATACCATCACATTGCAAGTTAGGGTCTCAACCTGGGAATTGGGATGGGGGTGCACAAAGACGTCCAGTCCATAACACATTCCTTCCATGACTATAATCATTCAGTTATGAATGGCTCCCAGAATCCTACCTCCAGAACCCAGTGGCTTATTCAACATCTCCACTTGGATCTCTAATTAGCATCTCAAACTTAATATGTTTGGAAATCAAACTCCTAGTTTTTTTGTTTTTGTTTGTTTGTTTGTTTGTTTGTTTGTGTTTTGCCACTTAGGAGCCCGGGGACTGGAAATAGAAATTAAATTCAGATAAAACAAATCAGATTTACATTTCTTGTGCTCTTGAGTTAGTGGCCTTGCTCTGTTCACACAAAATACTGCACGGTCTTGTGCAGCAGTGATGTGTTCCTGTAGAAGAGCATCTGCCATGTGCTTTCCTCATTTTGGTCCTTTCTGGAGCTCCGGGCAGCAATCACGGTCGCAGTA